TTAGAATTATGCTCTACATCCTTCTCCAGCTCTGTCCGGAACCCTCTGTTGTGATCCCGGTCAGAGCAGTCAGCGGTGGTAGCCGGGCACCATCTAGCTGTACTGGACTCAGTCCGGTGAAGGTCTTGGTTACTGAGGGCTACTTTGCCGTGGTACCCACCTGGGGGGCTGCTAAACATGCCCCACAGGAGGCTGACTCATCAAAGGCACCCCAAGGGCAAGAAACACACTTGATTGAGCCCCAGAGCTAAGTGATAAAATGGCATTAACTGGGCCTATCAGCCTTGAAGAAGCAGGCAACAATGAAGAATCAAATCAGTGCAGCTGCTGGATTCCGTATAGATGTTCTAGACGGGGATAATAAAAACCTGGAACATTTCTACAGGGCTCATTACAGACTCATTCCATGGCCCCTGGCCCTGGCAGGGCTTCTTAACTACTCTTCTACTTTCTGTGCTGAGAGTCTGCCCACCTACTTCCAGCAGCCAGGAACGAGGCAGGGGAGATGTGAGCCCACACCTGGGAATGCAATTTGGTGACTCACAAAACCTTTGGAAATCTGAATTGTGTGATTTGTTCTAAATGTTCCTCCCTCAGATCTCACGCCACAAAAGATTGCTGCTTAATCTTGACATTGTCAAGTGTCACGTTCAACGTGAGGGCCATAATGAGAGCAACATCAAAGTGTCATCCGTGGAGGTGGAGGAGGAATCACTCCATTTCCCCCAGAATAAGTCATAAAGTCCTCTCACAGCTCCAGAAAACAACTCAACATAAACTTAGGACATCTCCTCAGGTGGTTACCTTTTCAAACGGCCTTCAAACAGACCAGAAAGCAGCTCAATCTCACGTGAAAAAACAGTATTGTAATGATATGAGAGTAAATGTATAAAAACACATGGCTAGACATCAAAAAAAAAAAAAAGACCTACTGAGCTGATTGAGACTGGAGGACTCCCCGAGACTATTGCCTTGAGATATTCTTCAGACTTCGAACCGAAACTAACCCCTGAGGTCACCTGTTAACTAAATAAAAAACTGGCTCAAAAAATAATGAATATCACTTGTAAGTACTGTGCTCCTTTTAAAAATCACCTATATGAGACCAAACGGTCAACGTTTACTTTAAAACAAACACGAGAATGTAAGGGGGCAGAGAATCTAGATTAATGGAAACAGAACCACCAGAACGGAAATAATGAGAACGTTCACACATTGGGAAGAACGTAACCAATGTCACTGAACAACTTGTGTAGAAATTGTTGAATGGGAACCTGAACTGTTGTGTAAATCTTTGTCAAAAACACAATAAAATATTTAAAAAAAAGAAAAAAACATATGGCTAGACTGTATTTTCCCCCAAGAGAAGATGTTTCTGAAATATTTGGAAAAAATACTTTGAGACAATGTGTTTTGGAAACAAATCCCAATGTGAATATGGGAGCTTGTTCTAATTTTTAAGTGTCACTTCCTCATAAATACAGGAAAGCTATTTATGAAGCATGAGGAAAATATACCCTGCTTGTTTATACCCTTTTTACTAAAAGTATTCATTTATTAATATGACTATGGAGAGTTATCCCTCAGAGGGATCCTTTCTTCTTTTGTGTCCATGAAGCTGCCAGAAGACACAGTGGAGAATTTTCCCTCAGAATTTCTGAGATTGACCCTATATTGTTTTTGCTGTTTCATTTACTTTTCTCAACAGCTTTAGTGAGATGTAATTCCCATACCGTCCAATTCACCCAGTTAGAGGGGACAATCCAGCGGTTTGTAATATATTCACAGAGGTGTGCACCCTTCTTTTACTCTCATCCTCCACGTAGGACTCAGTGGATTTGCAATTCCAATGAGCCGAAGCCTCTGGAACCGAGCCCACCCTCTTCTCTAGTGCACTGTGTTCTCATCGGCGCCCTGGTGGCACAGAGGTTAAAGCACTTGGCTATTAATCAAAAGGTCGGCGGTTCGAATTTACAAGCTGCTCCAAGGGAAAAAAATGTGGCAGTCTGCTTCTGTAAAGATTACAGCCTAGAAGACCCTATGGGGCAGTTCTACTCTGTCCTGTAGAGTCGCTGTGAGTTGAAATCGACTCGACAGCAATGGGTTTGGTTAGGTTTAGGTGGAAAATAAATTCGAGATCCTGAGGCGTTTGCATCTCCTTGGAAAGGAAAGGTCTTACACACTGGCAGTTGTTTAGAAAGTGACAAACATTTTTGACAGCGGTGATTGTGACGAGAACTCCAAAACCAAACCCACTGCCGTCGGGTTGATTCCAAGTCACAGTGACCCCTACCCTATAGGACAGAGCAGACCTGCCCCGTAAGGTTTCCTAGGCTGTAAATCTTTACAGAAGCAGGCTGCTATATCTTTCTCCTGAGGAGCGGCTGGTTAGCAGCTGAGTGCTTTAACCACTGTACCACCAGGGCTCCTTATTTTCCACCTAAAACCATCTCTAAATCTAAATCCAGGTCTGTTGACAGCAGAACCTCTACCTTTAAGTCATCCCAATAAAACCTAACTGGAGTGTCCCTGGGCCAGGGGCAGGGGTGCTCCACCCCACCCACGAACTGAAGGGGCACCAGCTACCTGGTCCAGGAGGGACCACGCACTCCTTCCTGGGACCAGCCCAGTGACTGCTGACGAAATGGAATCTTGTGCACCCAGCCATCCCCACTCAGAGAGGGGTGCAGGCAAGATTAGGACTGAAGGGATAATGAACGGCAAGTAGCCAATGCCTAGAGAAAGCTAAGACAATGGGGTGACTGACCTGGGTCCTCGGGCTGGGGGTGCATGAGGCGGAACGGCACCTCGGTGGCCACTTCACTGTGAAAAAGAAGAGGGGCAGATTGGTGAGAGTGTGCGCACACACGTACACCACACACACCACACACGCACACACGACACACCACACACACCAAACACACGCACACACACACCACACACACCACACGCACCACACAACACACAACACACACACACCACAAACGCACACCCACCACACACACACACCACACAACCCACACACACCACACGCGACACACGACACACCACACACACCACACACACACGCACACACGTACACCACACACACCACACACGCACACACGACACACCACACACGACACACCACACATGCACACACACACCACACACACACCACACACCACACACAGCACACACCACACAACACACACACATACCACACACCACACACACACACCACACACACCACACAGCACACACCACACACACA